CTACCTATCTCTTTCTCCCTCTTTCTCTCTCCTGTTTTTTATCGTACTTCTTTTTCTTCCTACGCCACGCTCGCAATATTTCGGCCGCGTCCGCTTGCGAAGTGTCATCGCTCGCTTCGAAGGCTTTTATGGACGCACAGGCAAGAAGAGGGCGGCTGCCGCGCGAGATCGTTCAGCGAAGGGAGACAAGAGGCGAGAGAGAGAGAGAGAGAGAGAGAGGAGAGGCGAGAGAGATACCACAAGAGTGAACAGCAGGAAGTTGACGGGGACACCGCCGTGCGGTTACAGTCGCCTTTCATTTGCATACGTCATAATGTAATTGGCTACTTTGCGACACGTTCGGCCCGTGCATCCGTAAAGTATTGCAACTGATAGCGGCGCAGTTTCTGACCTTCGCGAGACGAAGATGCCGAGGTGTGTTCTGAGAACGATCCGAACGCGCGCGCGCGACAATGAATAATTAATATGTCTAACTTTAAATATTAAACGGCCGACGATCACATCGCTTTTCGCAGTTGATTCTCAAATTAAGATTCCATTTGGCTAACGTGCCTTGACTGTACACCTTGACTCGCGCCTGTAATAAGATCTCAATATTTATATAACACAGCGATTGAAATGCGAAGAGCACACTTTATATTGCACGTCTCTTTCCGCCACGATGACGTGCTACATAGTGGCTCCTATGACGCAAATAAAATGGAGAATTTTCAGTTTAATGTTTAATCGGGTCTCGCTATAAAAATAACATTTAAGAGTCTGAATATGTTATGTACTTCATGGTTTCTTATTCTTCTTGCGTTTATTTTCGGAGTATCACAGCGGAAAATAATATTCAACTTTGAATGTGCTCTTCATATTTTGACGACTATATTCGCTATAATAATAATTTTAAATTATAAATCTTGCTTCTGGGATAAGAAAGTAATATAATTTTTGAAAGTATGCGTTTCCGCATCACTGTATGCCGTATAATGTAAACATGGCGACGCTCTTTTTCTTTCTTTCTACATGGGGAAAAAGATTCCTTTGGACTTAACATTTCTTTGATTGAAACAAATTTGCCTTTTGGAATAAAGAAATCAATGTTTGACTCAACAGGATTGTTCAGTTTCTCAAACAACGAAAATTCGCTGTTTCGGACATGAGTCCCGCGAGAAGTCGCGGATCGGCTCACGTCGACTCCGTGGTAATCGGCATTCCATATGTAGTGGCAAATAATTCCGCCGTTTAAAACATCGTCACGCGCGCGCGCGCGCGTAGGTCGTATCCGCGCTCGAGTCTCGGATTCGCTAATTAGCGCGATTAGCATGCGATTTGCTGACACGCCCGGCTGTCACGGCGGCGGTCACGTGCGCGTGTATCGAGCCGTGACGTCAGGTGCAATAGGTGCGATATTCGGAGATGTTCACGCGCTCACGTCCCGACGATTACATCGGGCCACGCGGACGCTGCTTTCGGCCGAATGAAGCGGCTTGATCAACAACAAGCGCACCTAATGAGCTCGTTTGGGGACACCCGAGTGTACTCAGCGCAGGATGCACCGAGCTAAGTCCGTTCTCGTTATATCATAGTGAGAGTACGACGTTTAACACTGACTTTCTTCAGTACCCGCGCGGTCAATTTTAACGCGCTTTCCATCGCCGGCCGATAAATCGCGCGTACGCGTCTAAAAGAGATCGCGGATGTTCCGATACATCGAGACGCACCAGACGACGGAGCGGTCTTCGAGGCTTCACGAGGTGTTTACTTTTCCTTCGCCGCGAGCGTGCCCGCCGCACATTTTCCCCCTTTCCAATCATGTTCGCGCTCCGGCCGAGTCTCTCTCTCTCTCTCTTTCTCTCTTTCTTGGAATTATTTATCCGCGGCAAACTTGGGAAAATTTTATATATATTTGAACAAATAAATAATAAATAAATTTGTAAGTAATACTTTTATTCAGAGGAGCCAAATAATGATATTCATTCAAATAATTTATTTAAATGAATATACAAATAATTTATTCGTTATTCGCATTATTCGTTATTCATATTATTCGTTATTCGAATTATTTATTATTTATCATTTATTATTTGTTCTTGTTTTTCTCTGTTTATTTTATAGATATAACAAAGGAGTATTTTTTCTATTAAAAACTGCTTTAATATATGGCTGGTATAATAATATGATGAAATATGAGTTCACATACACGTACATACATGGGCGCACGCGAATAATAATAACACGAATAATAAGTGACGAATAATCAAATCGAAGAAACAAATAACACAATGAATAAAACAAATAAGAAATAAAAATTTATTTAAATATCAATTAAATATAAACATATCCGAATAACCCAACTCTGATCCGCGGTATCTTTTTTATACTTCCGGATTTTTGTGAAGAAATTAAAGAGGATTTTCAAATATTTCTAAACTTGGAAAATTTAGAAAAATTAATAAAGAACAATGGATAAAATAAGTGGATTTTAACCTCCGGAATGGCAAGTAAATGCAGTATGTTTTTTGTACTTTTTGAACTATTGAATCTGACTCTGACCTTTAAAACATTTTCATTTGACGGGAAAGTATTAAAATCAGCATATGAAGCTATTAAACATTTAGTAATAAATTATTATTATCGAGTTTTACGAAAATGTATTCATTTGTTTTCCTGCTAGTTAGTAGTATGATAATGCTATCATCTCTAATAGTTTTGCTCAGCTCGTCTATCAGAAATGTTTCAGAATGATATGCTGATAATCAGAGTGACTCTGAATAAGAATAATTGTTCCTTTTATTTCTTCTCAATATTTTCTTTTCCTTATATATTCTTTTATGTATAATATATAGATTTCCGTTCATTAAAAATATTTTACTATTGTAGTATTTTATTACTGGAAATTGTAAGATGTACGCAAAAAATATTTTTAAACGTCAAGATTCATTCTGATCGAATAAGACCTTTTTCATGTATTAATATGTGTTGTTCCTATATCAGCCGATTTTCACTAAATATTGTTTATTTTATTATAATTTTACACTTTCATTAATATACTATTCTCATAATAGCTTCTTATATATTTAATACATTTAATTTATTTAATATGCCGATTTTAATATTTTCCCGAGGAATTAAAATTTTCCAATGGTCAGAATCAGATTCAGCAGTTCATAAACTAAAAAAAAAAAACACATCATTTTTATTTGTCGGGGCCAAACTTGGGAAACTAAAAAATTAAAAACTTGAAAGATTCAGGAAATTTTGGGGGAATCACATTTACGTGTCAATAGCGCAATCAATTTTACTTTCTGTTTACTTGACGATGTGTAAATATACATATAGTTATCTTTTTTCTCTCTACTATATCTAACGCTTATCGCCGCGTGATGCCTCCGAAGTGTTCCTTTGGACTTTTCACCGTCTTTCGCGGCATTCGTCGCCGGTCTCTCCGGCGACTCATGATCGTTTCTTCGATTCACGATCGATCTTACTCGGGCGACGGGAGATGCTGGAGGAAACCTCCGGAATGGTATTGCTTACCTGCGCGACGCAGGCCTGTCTTAGAACAGGTTGCAGGCTTAATGGGTCAGCGAGCAAACTCGTGTTCTCCAATCACCGCGTGGGATTGATCGGGCGAGAACGCGCGAGTTCGCCGCGCGCGCGCGCGGCTATCGCGTAAATAACAATCGAGAATAAGTGGCGGAAAGTACGCGTCTTGTAATTGAGCAAATACTCGTAGGAGAACCCGACGCGACACATCTCTTTCTCTCTCTCTCTCTCTGTCTTTCTTTCTTTCTTTCTCTGCGCATCTCCTGCACAACGAGCATTGTTCCTACTTTCGCGACATTTCGCTGACGACCGTCCTACGGAGAAAAGTGGCGACGACGCTATTGTCGAAGGCGCGATAATAACGCGCACATAGATATGTAATTAATCGAATAGAAAAGATAATGGGATGTTCTTGCGAAATTTAATTGAACGATGATATCGCGTCCTATTACAAACAACCGTGTGAATAAGATAAGAGAAAAAGAATCGTTTAGATTTTTTGCGTTAGTTATAGTAACACGATACAGTGAAATATCTTTCAAAACAGTTGCACGTACAGGTTGATGCAATAACTAATTACCGCGTTGAATGTCTTCGAAATATGACAGTGGGAGAAAAATTTATCTGATAGAAATTACATTGATAATCAATAATGGTTATCACTTCGAACACCTTTTATAAGTGTAAACTTTTTCTCACCTTAATTTCGTTGTCGGTAAAATATTTTTATTTTTCAAAGATAATTGAACAACAGCTATTTCCTCTCTCGTCTTTTCTTATTCTGCGTATACCTTATACGCAGTAGGAAGAAAATTTGTCTAACAGAAATCACTAATGATATCAATAATGGTCATCATTTCGAATACCTTCTGTAAGTATAAACTTTTTCATTTTTACCTAGTTGTTATTACCGGTAAAATTATGTTGATTCTTCGACGATATTTAAGTAACAGTAATCGCTCCGCTCTGTGTGCAGTCTCGCGTGAGGAACGATAAGTGATGCACGGCGGCTGTTTGCATGACGACAATGTCGTGTGCGCGTAAAATTGAAAATTACCCGGCGAGTCTGGCGAGCACGCGCTGAGACAAAAATTCGTCATTCGTGCGAGTAATCGTAACGCTCTCTCGCGCGTGGCCACGCGAGAGAGAGCCTAATTCCGTATTCACCCTTCTCCACCCCGGAGTGGAAGGAATCGGAGGTCACGTCGCATAAATAACTCCGACAGTCAAAGGGTTAATTGTCGCCGGGCGGGCTATAGTTAATGCTTATAGTTTAATGTCCGTCCCTCAACGGGGAAGGTCGCGATCGCCTCGAGGGCACGTAACTTTACGACGTGACCCGCATTAATAATCGCGCCCTCCGCTCGGTCCCCCACTCCCCCTCCTCCGCCGCCTCTCCCTCCCGAAGCGCGCAATGTAAAACGGCGGTCACGTCCTGATCTCACTCGGCTCCTTATCTGTTGCAGCACTTTCCACAGCCACCGAGGATGTGGGAGATGGGCATCAAGGGCACGAAAACGACACCGGTGAGTGAAACTCGGATGTCTTTCGGGAGGCTTCGAATTTTTCGACAAACTCCACCGAACTGGAATCGATTCTGCCCTCGGCGACGACGCGACCGCTCGTGAATATTTCCGTCGCGGAATCTTCTCTCTCTCTCTCTCTCTCTCGATCTTCTTCTCCGATCTGAACTTTCGCTTTTCACGCGCCAAATGAATATTTATAATAGCGATCTTTTTCCCTCTCGACCGAATTCCACGATCAAACGGTCTTCGCGAGTAACTCGCGTTATTTGCCGGCTTCCTCCGTCTCTCCCCGGTCTTGCGTAACAACGTCCGATCGTCTGACCCCCCTCCACCGTGTCACCGAATGCAACCGGTTGTTGCATCCACGCAACGCGCTTCCGACACGCCGCTGAAACTTAATTCCGATCCTTTAGCGCGAACACGAGCGAACGCCGAAGCGCAGATAGGAAAATTGCCCTCCTCGCCGCGCTCGGGCGACAACGTCAGGTATCTCGTGACCTAACGCGAGATTTCCTCCTAATCGTCTCGGATATACACGCAAGGCGTCGGTATTTGCAATTTTAATTCGCAGCGCGCTCGGCGCGAATCGCAAGAACGCGCGAGCATATAACGGCGTAATTTCTCGGAGCCTTTCTCATCAATCGACCGCTTCCCGCAGACGTGACTCGTCTTTCTCCCCGAAATCCCCCGGCGAATTCACTCGCCCCTCGCACGGCAGAAGGGTGAAAATACGTCCCAGTGAACACCAATTAAAAGTAACATTACATCGATGTTATAATATATATGTTAGGGCAAATATTTTTATAACGCAAATACATTGCAATTATTATACTTTATCTTGCTTCGACTATCTGGAGTATGGAAATGTCATGTGGTCTCCATATTTAATTAATCGATACACACCAATTGAACAGGTACATCATTTTCTCCGCTGTTTGAGTTCCGTTATAGGGCGTGTCAATTTTCTTTCATGACTGTCGGCCAGTTGAACGTGAGATGTGTATTTCATTCTTAGAGCACGGACAGATTATTTTCGACCTATTATATTTATACGGGGTGTTCTAGACCAACAGGGACAAATTTTGTGAGGGCATAAGACAAATTTGAGTGAACAGAAAACCCTCTATCGGTTTACAAATAACACGCAAAATTTCGAGTTATTAATTATTGAAAATAATCATTGGTTCTTTAATGAATATCTGAAAAATTGGCGTGTTGCGAAATGGTACAGGGCTTTTTTTTCAGAGTGACCTAATCTACCAATGATACCTGTTGTACCTAGTGACAGGTATCAGTATATTGAATTTTGGACCTCGAATCTTGAATCTGTCGTTAGGTACAACAGCTGTTATAAATAGCTGTCACTTGTAAATTTCTTTTTATTTTTCGATAATATTTAAGTAATAATATCCGTCCTACGTCCTTACAAATTGTTTGATTGTTCCTGTTAGTCTGGGGCACCCTGTATAATATAATTAATGGCAACATCGATAGCCCTCATATTCTAGCGCTCGTGTGGCTTAATGTCCCTGATAGATGTCTCAGGAAGTATCCGCTTCTCTCCATTTCATTTCATAAAACGCTTTATCGCTACCTTTAAATCTATTAGCCGGCTGTGCATGTCAGGTAATGACTTTTCTAATATTATTGATTTGTTCAATATATCGCAAGATATGCTTAGAAACAAACCAACAGGCATGTTCGTTAAATCGTAAATCTTGTTTATATTATATCGTTTCTTTAAATTAAATGTGTTATTTACTTTTTGTATTGTAAGAAAGAAAAAAGCTACATTATTTGGTTTACTTAATAAAATAATATAATTTTAAAAGCTCGGAAGAAACGGTTTTTTTTCAATTTTCCTGCGATTTCTTCGATTTCTTTTCGAGGGAAAACTTGTTTTAACTACAAATAATAATAATAATAATAATAATAATAATAATAGTTTTAAAGCTCGGAAAAACCAGTTCTTTTAACTATAACATAAACTATAATTTAAACTATAATAATAATCTTTCATTCAACAATGTAACTGCAATATAACATGCGCGGTATGTAACAACGTTGAATGGGAAACGACAACGTTGTTATTAACATTACTGTTAATTGGTGTTTACTGGGATACGAACGAACGTACGAACGGACGTACGTACGTACGCGAAGACCGGGGAATTCGTGAGGAGACATTTCGTCGGCCATGTTCGTCGGAGATTTGGTCCATGGTCGACTGGTCCAGTTTCCGAGTGAGCGGTGAGATTGATGCTATAATATTATCGGCGCGCAATCCGCCGATTGATGTACTCGCGATCGTCTTCGTCTTTGTCGTCATCGTCCTCGCCGTTAGTTCATGATAAGCTCGTTAATGTATCCCCGAGTATCCAAAGTATGAAGGATACTGCTTCACGATGGATCATCGTTTGCGCGCCGGTCGCAGGTGTGTCTCGAGCAATTCTGTCATTAACCCGCGACAGTGAGTGATTAATTCGCGCTCGGGGGAGAAAGAGAGCGAGAGAGAGAGAGAGAGAGAGAAGGACAAAGAGACCAGAGAGGGAGAGACGCAAGCGTCGAGAAGATAATTCTTTCCGCGAATGCGCGCAGACTTGCGTTCAATCCCGCGTAAATAAAGATCAGCGAATGTAGTTTGTATCACGATGACGCGCGCGCGCGCGGAGCACCTGTCATAGTGGTAACGGCCGGGCGTTGCTGCACGTACGCGCGAACACAGATATAACCGGTACAGCACGTGGGCTTTTTGCGTTGTTAGCTCCGCGCGCGCGCGCGCACCGAACAATGAGTCACGCCGAATCGCCGTAGGAACTGATTTCTCACAGACTTTTGCACCGAGAGAGAGAGAGAGAGAGAGAGAGAGAAAAGGAGTTTATGTAAGCGCGAACGCGCGGACGGGGCACGGTTGTGCGCGAGGATGACATAACTCTCCAAATGATAGATATATAGGCCCCCGAGCGAATTGAAGTTCAACAAACAACCGAAGGAGCCGGTAATTGCACGGTAATTGTCGAAATGCGCGCCTTGTCCCGAGGCACGGAAGACGCGCGAAACTTCCGCGTTCGGTCTTCTCTTCTGAGAAACACCGCTGCTGAAAAATCTTCCCCCCCCCTTTCCCTACCCTTCCTTTTTCTTCTCTGATCTTTTTCTGTCTCATTCTTTCCTTATCCGTCTATCTTGTAGTTAAAAATAATCGGGGTTTTTCCGTTTTCCCGCGAAGTTTTCCAGTTTCTTTCCCGAGGGCAGAAAAATTCGTTTAGGAAAATTCGCGTGTATTCGATTAAAATCCGCCACATTTAATTATTTTCGCGGGGAAGATAATGTTTCTTTCCGAAACTTCAAAATTATAAGTCAAATGAAATTAATTTATGTTTGTATTTATGTATGTATTTATTATGTAACTGCATATATTAACCTTTCGTTTTACATATTATATCATATAACATATTAACTTCATAAATTTTTCTAAACGAACTTTCCTACCTTTGGAAAAGATCCGAAGGAATCCGTGGAGAAATAGAAAAAAAAACCGGTTTTTTCGAGCTTTTAAAACTATAACTTATCTTGAAGCACTATAAAATCCGTGCAGAGACTCTTATCGGCACTCATTTTTCTTCAAATATCAACACAAGTGTTTTATATATTTTATTTTCTTCCCTTTCTCTTTCTCTTCTCTTTTTTCGTAAAAGCGAATACAGATTCAAGATTTGCGTCTGCAATTAATTTTTCCTCACGCATTAGCGGCAAGTTCTCTGCAGGATTCTCAACAGTTTCGAATTATCATAACGACACGGTTGTGAGCGAATACGCGCTGAGAGAAGGGAGAATAAGGGAGAGAGACCGAGAGAGGGAAAGAGAGAGAGAGAGGATTTTCCCGTGAGCGAGAATTTATGTCCGCGCGATGTGTTTTTCCGTCGGCAAAACCGCCTTGTTGCAGATAAAACAGGAAATGTACCGCGAAAAAGTGCGTTATCAGTCCAGCATATCAGCGGAGAGGCGATCCTTAAAATCGCGTTTAAGTTTTCATAGGCTCAGACAGCTGTGCTTACACCTAATCGTCTTGCATATGCGCGCGATATGTCGGATTGATAGCGGCAGTTTAACGACGCGTTTTATAAGCCTGTCTTATCAAATCGAAACGATTTCATAAGTCCTTTATCGCGGACCAGATTACAAAAATCGTCTCCGCGTCTACTGTCTCGCTTCTGACATCGTCGGAGGAGGCAGCTGATCGCAGGTACAATCAGATAAGAGTTTCGAGATCTTCGACAGTATGCAGAGTGTTTCCTATCACGTGGTATCCATACGGAGGAAACAAATATCGCTGGAACAACAAATGTTTGTCAATATAATGACGATGACTGAATAAAAACGAATTTGTTGATTTTCTATTTGCTGGATTTGTGGACAATTAACACTCTTAACAAATCTTTACGCAGTCCAAACAAGTTTTTCGCTGTCTAAATAAATATTTCTTCGCCGTCACTATATTGACAAACACCTGCTGTTCTAACAAAATTTGTTGCCTCCGTGCAGTTTAGGAGTGGACAGGAAACACGAAACCGATAAAACAAGTTCACACAAACATGCGTCCCGTTTGACCTTGTTTCAGAATTATTCATGATTGAACTATGAGTAAAGGCCTTTTTATTTAATAATTCGGAAATTTGCGTATTACTTGCAAAATGGCATTTTTCTGTTCAAAGTTACCTAATCTGCAAATATGTGGCAGATGTTGTATCTAGCGACAGGTACAAAGTTCGAGGCTCAAGGTTCGATATACCGATGTCTGTCGTTACAATGTACAACATCTGTCATATACTTGTAGATTGTGTTTGAATAATTCACACTGAACAAAAAAAGTTCTGTACCATTTTGCAAATAACGCGCAAGTTTTTGAGTTATTAATTAAAGGATCCTCTAAACACGGCCATTTTCAACCATTAATAATTCTGAAACAAAGTCAAATTATGACACGGGCGTTTATATGACCTATTTTTATTGTTGCTTTTGTGTTTCCTGTCCACTCCTGTAGATCCCGCGTGTTAGGGAACACCCAGTATATTCGTGATCGCTAATAAATATTGCTGATATTTTTTTTTAATCGCAGAGCATCGTCCGTGAGAGATATCGGCGATGCTTTAAATCTCCGAGTATCTCTGAATTTCTCGACGCGATGGAATCGCCCGGCTGTTTTCAATCTTCGTGAATTACGTTGCGTTCAATTCCATTGTTTTATCTAGAAACAGCAGGATATACGTACTGTGTATTCTGTACTATTGCAAATTCCAGGCCTGCTAACGGAGTATCGGAATATCAACTCTCGAGTCGTTTGATTGCGCCGCGATAAAGTGCGCGCCATTCCATTCGCGAGCCGATAATATAACTCACGTCTCGATTATCGATTCGCGATAAACGTCATTCGCGCTCCACCTCCGCGCGGGTGTTAATCACGTCATATTCCGCGCTCGTCGGTAATTGGTGGGAGTTGCAAAACGCGCCTGATATTATTCTCGTTAATTCTGTCATCAACTTCTCGTTATTTTCAAAAGCGAAAGCTTATTATTCAGCCTCTGTCTTCGATCGTAAAATTAAAAAACAAAGCGGTCCTCTGTCCCACTGTTGAATCGTACGGTTTAAAAATAGAAATACCTCTTACCTGCCGCTCATCGGCGTTATTCGGGGATACAACAATTCCAGTTCCAGCCGTTGAGTCGTATTGTTTAAAAGTAAAAAATTAATCCTCTAACCCGTTTTTAGGTTAGGCGTAGTTCGCATTACTTGGAAGGTAAAAGCCCGACTGTCTTGTAATTGACACGACCTGCCACCCGGTTCGTCGATAACACAGTGGCGGCTCGTAGCGGAGATTACGGAATTCAAGCAAACGAATCGTTCAGCCGAGACTCGAACCTTGTTTAGCCGGTATTCAAACCCAGCGTAGACAACACTCGGTAGTCGGTTATCCACCTTTCGAAGACCCAGCTTTCCCTCGCATCACCGCTAGATGGCGCGAGATGGGTTTATCTCTGAAATCGTTTCACCTATGAATCGGTTACCACCTCGGAGTGTAGTTCCCCTGTCTCCGCTAGGAGCCGCCATCAGCGAATCGAGGTCGCAGTGCGTGACTAATGGCGGCACGTTCAGGCGTCGGACTTTTACTTTTTAAATAGTACGACGCGCTCTCTCCCTTTCTTTCACAAGTAAGTTCGTAAAGGTCACTGAATATTATTATTAATAATTCATTGGAGGAAATAGTGGCGAAGAGATGAGAGATCGATGGCTGATCCGCGAAGTTTTCAAGACGCGATCGGTCGATCGGTAAGAATCATAAAACGGGGCTTCGTATCGATCGATTATTCGACCGTCGGTTTTTATCGTTTTCTTTCCCCTTCGATATCAGCCATCTTTGTTCGGCGGAAACGACCCCACGGTGTTTATCGTATCGGTCGTATGCGTCCTATTAACGCGAGCCGCCTCCCGCGGTTCAATTGTCGCTTAACCTCCGGTCTCGAGACGAAACGCGACAATAAAGGCCAGCTGCGGCGACGACGGCTTCCCGGCTGCCACGTGACGGTCACACGCCCGTCTTTGGCACACACGGAACATTCGGTAAGACGCCGCTTTTCGACGAGCGTATCGTTTGTTACTCGCGCTCCTGGCATCCGGCCGTGCGATTACGTGGGGATTACAAAATTCCGCAGCGCGCGTTCTCCACGCCGCGCTGACGTCCCGCGAATCGCGAGGGGCCGGGACGGCCGATTCGACTGACGAGTCTGGAAAGAGGAATGCGCACAAATAAGAAGCCCACGGAAGGGGCGCTGGTGATGAGACATCTCGAAATTTATGTTAAGAGCGCGTGATGAAAAATTCCTTCCCGAGGCACGTGCCGAGAGGGACTTGGGGAATTACGTGCGCGAAGATCGATGAAAACGATATTAGAGCGGACTGTTACTTCGTCGCAATGGCGTCTCAAGTGCCGACGCTATTTCACGAAAGACCAATTGCGCGAATGATCGCGATCAATTCGGATGACGACTGGAAAGGGGGACGCTTTAACAAGAATCCTACACGGGGGGGGGGGGGGTTTTNTAGGATGGAATTAAAAATTAGGGCAAAGTTAGTATGAAATTAGGAATTGAAAATTGGTGTAAAATTTTGTATAGTTTTAAAAACTTGGAAAATAATGGATTCTCTCTCCCGGATTTTTTCGGTTCCTGCTCCAAGAGTAGAAAAAATTTGTTTCGAAAAACGCACTGTGTTCGGTTAAAACCCGACGCATTTACCTTTTTTCAAAGAAGATAAGAAAGAGAAAGAAACTGAAAAGTACGAAGAAATTGCAAAAAGAACCGACATTTCCGAGTCTTCCAAACTATAGAATTTTACAACCGAGAAGCATATCGACGTGCTGCATTAATTTATTACCTTACCGTTTCACGTGTGCTTCGCTATTTATATTTCAGGAAACGAAATTTCAAAAAATGTACAATCCGACATTGACATGTAAAAGTGTCTATTTATAAGTGTTTGTTTCCTCCCTTTCAAAATTGGTTTCAATTAAGGAATCTGCGTTAAATCCGAAGAAATCTTATTCTCTGTAGGTAAGCGATCACTCGAGAGTGAAAATTTGACTCGCAAAATTACGTACGTAATACTCGGGATTTAAAAAGTGGTATTTATCACAAAGTGCTGTTACTTCGTCGCAGTAACGTCCGAAACGTCGCGCGATGTTGCTTCACGAAAGATCGATTGCGCAAATGAGCGCGCTGATATGCCGTTAATCAAAAGCCGCTTCGATCGATCGATCGTCGCTGCAGTTCTCATCTCGGCTTCACTCGCGCTCCTTGATGTTTGCTCAAGTCGCGTGTAATCGCCCGATGCGCGTCGAATCGCTGATGAATTATTGCATATCGATATTAATCGCTAACGAAGGCACACCACACGTCATCGACGATGTGACACTTGCGTCACCGCGAATCACGTGTGTCTTAATGCAAATTCGCCCGCTCGTTAACTCCGCAGGACGCAAGGCGGCAATTATCGCGATCGGCGATCATAAACAATCGCGCGAAAACATTTACATTATCGTCGGGTTAATCGCTAATTAATGTCATATCGGATTAACGAGCGCTCGAGTGGCAGTCACGTGTTAGGCGTGTCGGGAAGCGTTTTCGAAAGCGCAAAAGATAACTCGTCCGTGGCCGGTGCTCCACTCGCGATATCCGCTCGCTCCGCGATATCAGCCGGAAAAGAGAAGAAAGAAAGCGAGGAAAACAAAAAAATCTATGCGATTACACCAGTACTTCATGTTACAATCCTTTTCTCTTTTCGACCGCACTGTACAGTCCAAGATAAATATTTCTTGGCCAAGACTCATTTTTTTAAGTTTCACTTTAAGTTGAATGCGGTTATAAATGCAGTCTTATAAATTATTATTATCTATTATTTTTTATCACTCATCGGTAAATGCGTGATGCTGAAAATATCGCTCGCTCGAGGGTAACTTTTAGTCACATCTGGTATGCTGTCAAAACTGTGCGATATATTATATTAATTTAAATACTGATTGTAACATTATATACAGGCCACTCTGAACACAAATGTTCTGTACCGTTTTGCAAATAACCGTGCAAATTTTTGAGTTGTTAATTGAAGAAACCTTTAAATGGCCACTTCAATAATTAATAACTCGAAATTTTGCATGTTGTTTGCAAAATGGTAGACATTTTTGTTCGCCTTAATCCATCCTACGTCCTCACGTAGGAAATTTGTCCTTGTTGGTCTGAAATCCCCGTATATTTAATACTCTATATATACTCTTAAAGAACTTCGAAATAAGTTATTTTACATTTTGTTATGTTTTTCTTATTTCTGAAGTGAGGTAATAATAATAACTAAATTTATATTTAAAATAAACGTAACCTTGCAATGGAAAAATGTTTTCTTGCCAATAGTTCAAGAAAAGTTTGAAAAGTTTCTTAAAGTTTCTGAAAAATATTAAAGTTGTGTAGTAATCGTCAACATTTATACTAATAAAATCTGTTATATTTTTTACCATCCTTTAGATTCCCTATAAAATATTCTATCGGACTCTGTCTGAAATTCAGAAAGAATCAGAAAATAAAAATACTCGTCTGGATGATGAAGAATCGTTCAAGAATATCGTAAAAGAAGAAATGTCACACTATTTAGAAGAAACCACTCACAAAAAAACGAATTACTTCGTATTCATCTAGCAAGAAAGTAAGATAAATGTTAGATCTCATAAAAATCGTTACATTTCTTCTTTGAAAGGACATTTTCAGCGTGTAAAGAATCATTTTGATTTTCAAGACTCCGAGTTTCGAGCCGAAAACTTTTACTTTCAAATCACTGTGCTGTGTAACGGTCGGTGCGGTAAAAAAGCCAAGCGGATCTCCGAATCGCACGCGCTGTGACATCATCCGATAAAATGTAATTCCGTCCGTCCGTCCGTCCGAGGTATCTCCGTTCACTCTGAATAACGAGGAGCGTTCTCTCTCTCGAGCTAACAGTACTCGGCACGTGAAATCCGCATGTTCGATTCGCGGCCGATCCGAGGACGCGATATCGTTTCGCTTTCGACAAGCGGCACATCAGATCAATTGCACGTGCGTTACAACTCTCTCTCTCTCTCTCTCTCTCTCCGCTACTCGCAGAAGTGAGTCGGTAAACGAAACTAATCAATCTAAGAACTCGCGTCGAGGGTTAAAATCGTACCCTCCTCCCCCCTCCTCCTCTCCTCATCGGAGACACCGGATGCCAAGTGAACGTCGTCGTCATTTAATCCGCGCGCATTCCCGCGAATTCGACGACTCGCGCGCCGTACACGAAAGGTCAAGAGGGTTGCGGGGTCGCGAGGGGGAGAGAGACGAGAGAAGAAGACTCGGAGATGCTACACGCACGTACACGTGGTGCACGCGTGCGCCACGTGCGCTCCCGCGAGGAGCTCAGGTTTCACGTTCGACGGTCGTGACGCTTTTTTGCGCGCCTCGCGTCCACTTCGAAAGGATGTGACGCGTGTAATTGGCTCTAATTGGTTTACCAATTGCCGCGGCCAATTGGCCGATGGAAAGCCCGTCTAGCGGAGGCGAAGCGCGCGAGCATCGAGTACTCCTCCGTCGGTGGAGGAAAGCGAAATGCATGGCGCGAGAAATCGGACGCGTCTCTCTCTCTCTCTCTCTCTCTCTCTCTCTCTCTCTTTCTTTCGAACTTATGAGATCGTGCGGTCGGGTCGCGGATTTTTGAAAGAAGGAGAAAAAAGAAGTACCATTCCTAACGCGGGGTCTGCCCCGGCTTCTTCCTCGTCGTTTTTGCGTCCCACCCGGAAAGTCTGGTTTGCCCGAGGAGCGCCGGAGTATCCGAACTTCGATTGCGAGTCCGACCTTCGAATAAAAATGCCGTCGGAACGTGAGTTTAGTTAGTCGAGTTAGCAAGAACGCGCTGATATTTATCTGCGTTCTCAAACCGTAATTGGTCTGAAAACTTATATATATATATATATATATTTATATGTATTTGGGACTATTCCCGGACGAGTCCTGGCCGGCGGTTGTAACGCCGCGCGAAACGAAGTTTCGGACATCCGAGCCGCCGGGATATCTAATCGGCGTCGAACCGACCCGACCGCGGCGGAAACCATAACGGTTGACCTCGGAGCGCCTAGCAACAAGTGGCGTGTGTGTATGGGCAATGTCCTCTCGAGAGAGACGTGGTCCTTATTCTTCCATGAGAAGACGTCGAGGTGGAGAACTTCCAGTCGCGCGCGAAGTACACTGCCCCGAACGACCGGAGGGGGAAGGGAGGCGGTCACTTTGTCATCTCCGGGAGATGAATATGCCGAGCCGAGAGCACTTT